TGTTCCCCAACCTACCTCAATACCTAGTATAGTGCCTGAGAGTGCTGACGATAGAGGACTTGTCTTATTAATTTCTGTACTCCCAGAGTCTAGTATAGTGGCTAGAACACAGTAAGCTTACTACATGCATTAACTCATTTAATCCTCACAATATTGCTCTGAAGTAGTGCTATTATTATCTTTGTTATAGATGAAGAAATTGAAGCACAGAGAGATTAAGTCAATTGCCCAAAATTACCAAGCTAGTTAAGTAGTAAAGCTGGAATTTGAACTCAGGCATTCTGGCTATAAACCTGTACCCTTAACACCTAACACAACCACATTGGAGGTGCTATTAGATATTTGTTCAGTGAATACAATTGCAAGAAAATATGACAATCCACCAACTGGGAGCAAATATTTGCAAATCATATATCCGACAAGGGGTTAATTTCCAAAATATATAAAGAACGCATACAACTCAACAATAAAAAAACAACCCGATGAAAAAATGGGCAGAGGATATGAACAGACATTTTTCCAAAGAAGATATACAGATGGCCAAAGGCACAATAAAACATGTTCAACATCACTAATTATTAGGGAAATGCAAATCAAAACCACAATGAGATATCACCTTACACCAGTCAGAATGGCTATAATTACCAGGACAAAAAATAACAAATGTTGGAGAAGATGTGGAGAAAAGGGAACCCTCATACACTGCTGGTGGGAATGCAAACTAGTGCAGCCACTATGGAAACCAGTATGGATATTCCTCAAAAAATTAAAAATAGAAATACCATACAACCCAGCTATCCCACTACTCCAGTACTTATCCAAAGAACATGAAATCAACAATTCAAAGAGATTTATACACCCTTATGTCCATTGCAGCATTATTCACAATAGCCTAGATGTGGAAACAACCCAAGTGCCCATCAACTCACGAATGGATAAAGAAGATGTGGTGCACACACACACACACACACACACACACACACACACACAATGGAATACTACTCAGCTATAAAAAAGACAAAATTGTCCCATTTACAACAACATGGATGGACCTTGAGGGTATTATGTTAAGTGAAATAAGCCAGACAGAGAAAGATAAACACTATATGATTTCACTCATATGTGGAAGATAAACAAATACATGGATGAAGAGAACAGATTAGTGGTTACCAGAGGGAAGGGGGTTGGGGGATGGGTGAAAGGGGTAAAGTGGCACATATGTATGGTGACGGATAAAAATTAGACTATTGGTGGTGAACACAATGAAGTCTATACAGAAACTGATATATAATAATGTACACCTGAAATTACATAATGTTACAAACCAATATGACCTCAATAAAATAATTGAAAAAAAAAGTGAATTATAATCATGTAAAAGAAGTATTCCATTATACATTTGTACTTTACACAATAGCCATGCTCCCAAAAATTACATAAAAATCTATTCTTTTGTAAATTTCATGTGTATTTATCAGTGTGTCCTGCACATTATAGTCTGAAAAGTTAACCCACACTGCATATTAAGGGTTCCTGCTGCTCAAAGCAAGTTGTGGTGACCCATTTTGTTGTGTCAAGAACCACTTTTGTCATGTCAATAATCACCTCCTAAGCTGTCCTATTCATACAATTAGGTTTTTTTCACATACTGGCTTTTTCTAAAGCTGGAAGGGCTGGTAAATGTCCTTTAGTAGATGGTGTTCCATCATCTTTAATCCACTCCTACACCCCACCCCACTCCTCCAACTGTAAAGTCTGGAAAGACAGTTGGTGCCCTCTTCTGGGGATTTGGGGCAGTAGCATACATCGGACCCACCAGGGGGCATTTCCAGGAAATAATCATGTCAACTTCTTTCAGTTCCGGTGATAGGAATGGGATTGGTTTTTGGATCTTTTTCTGAAAATAAGAAAGCTGACCAATTCAATCAGGTGAGTCTCCTGAAGCCCTGGTGGGTAGAGGGGTAGAGGAATGGAATAAAAACTCAGCTAAACTTTAGGAGGATGCTGAGCAGATATTTCCTTTAAAATACACTTTAAAATCGTAGGCTATCAATGATAAAATTTACCATTTATTTAGGATTATCTAGTGCTAGATAGTTTATATACATTATCTCATTTAAATCTTACCACAATCCTGGAAGGTAAAGAATATCGCCAATTTATAGTTAAGAAAGCTGAGATGCAGAGAGGTTAAGGAACAGCCAAAAAATGGCAGAACCAGGAATTCAAACCAAAATCATGCTCTTTCCAGTGTAATATGTTGTCTCTTTTTACTTCTTTTGATTCTGTATCAAAATGTCACTACTAAGAGATGGCAGAAAAATATTCTTGACAGTTATAATCCTAATCCAAAACCACTGAAACATCAAAGAAAACTGTGCCTCAAACTCTTATATGGACCCTTTGCTAGTTGTCCTGACAACTTCTTTTATTTAGTTAAGTTGGATAGAAAGATAGAAAGTTTAAATTGGTAACAGACAGAGGTCAAGGGCCAAAGAGAATGTCAGGGAGGTAGAGAAGGGGGTAAGAGCAGAGGGAGGAGCGGTGCGGATATGGAGGACAGAGAGGGTTTTTGGCTGCCTCTCTGCAACTCATAACACCAGAACTAGCACATCAAGGTGAACCCAGCTTTCTGGAGAGCACAACTTACATCAAATGTAATAATAATTCACCTGTGTCTAGTACTTGCTTTGTGCCACGCACTCTTTTAAGTGTCTTAGTATTAATTCATTTAATCCTCACAGGACTCCTATGAGGTAAGTCTTTTAATTAATCTTATTTTACATATTAGACCATTGAAGCAGCTGAGGAAACTGAGGCAGAGAGAAGTTGAGTAACTTGCCCAAGGTCAAGCTAATAATTGGTGGAACTGGAATTTAAACTTAGGATTCTGGCTCCAGAGCCGTGTTCTTACCCATCATTATATATCACCCCTCCCAATATGTTGTAAGGATAGTATTGTTTCAGGAAATGTTTACTTCAGGTATATACATGTGTGCTTGTTTGTATTGGATTGCAATGTAAAATGTATTTATTCCTGTTAATCACAGACAAAAATGTCTAAAAGCTACTGTTCTAGCAATAATATTGTTGAATTATACATCTTCAACCTCACTGGAGATAATGTCAGATTGCTCTCTAAAACGATTGTACCAAATCACATTCCCACCAGCAGTGTAAGAGAGTTACCTGTGTTCTACATCCTCACCTGTACTTAATAGTGTCAGACTTTCAATATGCTGCCAATCCAATGGGTGTGGAATCGTATCTTACGTGGTTTTAAATTGCATTTTTCTGATTTCTATTACATCTTTTCATATGTTTTGTCCGTTCAGTTTTTGCCTACTGTGAATCATCTGTTTCTTGTATATTATTGTATACAATGCAAATGTGTACAATACAACACTCACAACAACAGCTCTCTGAAGGAGCCAGCAGTACAGATGAAGAAACTCAGGCTGGGAGAAACCTTGCTTAAGGTCACCCAGCTAATGGGTTGTTGAGTTGGGATTTGAGTCCAGACCCAGACGACCCATAAGCCCATGCCTTTTGTTTTACAATACATGCCAGGGACCAAGGCCATGTTAGAGAAAATAGTGGAAGGGAACAAATAATTTTGGGCATGTAACCACATGTCATGTGTCTAATTATGTTTTGTGCAATTAACGTAGATTATTTCCTTATAGCCTTACAACCACCTGTGAGATAAAACATGTTATCTCCATTTTACAGGTGAGGATACTGAGGCTCAGAAGGAATAGATTTGCCTTGGAGAAGTTAAATTACAGCTAATAGAATCACAGTTCAAACACAGGTTTGTCTGATTACAAAGTCCATGCCTGTTCCACAATAATAGTGCCTGTCCACAGATATTCTTGGTATGAGGTAAAGGCCTCCCACAAATTAGGCCTGCCTCATCATCTCCTAGAGCCATGTCTTGACCTCCTGCCCCACCTTCTCCTTAGAGCCCCAACAAACTGCTTCTATTTGGATAGGGCCAGAACAACACCTACCATTTTTCTGCAGAATCCTGGTCTGGGGCAGCCTTAACTGACCGACCCAGCCCTGCTATCTCCCATTAACCAGCCAAGTTGGGTGAGCTCCCAGCCATCTTCCTCAGATTCATCTTCTACTGCCCCAGGCTTCTCTGATGAAGCCCACTCAGGATCTCAACACCTTCCATGGTAAACCAGAAAATTCTAAGTCAGAGTTCTCAAACTTGGCTGCACATTAAAATTACCTGCAGAACTTTAAAAATTCCTGATGCCCTGGTAACACCCCAGACCCACTGCATCAGAATCTCTGGGGATGGTACCCAGGCATCCTTAACAGTTAAAGCTGCCCAGTTGATTCCAATGTACAGCCATGGTTGAGAATCACTGTTAAGGCATCTTCTTCAAGTTCCAACAGCCACACTCACACAGTGGTTTCCACATTCCAAGTGTTCATAGGAACTTCTTGGAGCATTTGTTAAGATTCATATTTCTGGACCCTACCCTCAGAGAGTCCATGTTTTGTACCAGACCCAGGAGTCTGCATTCTTAACAATCACCTCAGATAGTTTCACTCAATTCATTAGCAGACCACATTTTGGGAAATGCTGCATTAGAGGAAGTGCTGTATGAAAGTGGGATGAGAGCAGGAGTCCTCTGGCCCTTTAAGGACTGATTAAGAGACTCCCTTTAAAGCTGTGGAGCAGAGCAAGCCAGGGATGCTTTTTTTTCATCCTGGTAGATAAGGTAAGGGAGCAGGTCCTGGTATGCACCTCTCCTTTTAAGTTACCTCAGCCTCTGAATAAGTACTGTCTTGTTCCCAGCCCTGGAGAGCAGGAGGAGCATGCTGCCTTGTTCCACCTGCTGTTTCTGTTTGTATTGATGCCAAGTTAGGAGACCTCCTTTGGTCCAGGAGATCCTCCCAGAGGAAGCAACATAGGGCCTGCCTGCCTCCCTTTCACTTTTTTCTTGCCTCATCCTTTGTGGCTGTGGAGCCAGTATGTGGTTACCTGTGTGAAACGGAAGAGTTAAAGTGACATCCTTTGGGCTTGGGCTGGAGCATGTTGCTGAACACCAAGCCTTTCAAGATGGGCCTCCTCAGCATCCTTAGAATCCTTCTTCTTTGGGGACTGGTGCTTTTTATGGAACACAGGGTCCAAATGGCAAAGGTAGGGCATCCCTCTATTGCCCTCCCAGCTGAGGCCCCTACCCTGCCCCTGATTCGGGAGCTGCTAGAAGAAGCCCCTGGCAAGCAGCAGAGGAAGCCACAGGTCCTAGGGCATCCCTTGCGGTACATGCTGGAGTTGTACCAGCGTTCAGCTGACGCACATGGACATCCTAGGGAGAACCGCACCATTGGGGCCACCATGGTGAGGCTGGTGAGGCCCTTGACCAAGGTAGCAAGGCCTCTCAGAGGTGAGTTATCATACCCTACTGTTCTGGAGGGGAGAGAAATGGGGGAAAAGAGTGTAGAGAAAAGGGGATCTGTGGATTTACTATCAGACTTGGTTTTCAAAGGATGGCAAACCAGCAAGAAGCTGGCTGCAAGCCTGCTTCTCTTTAGGGCCCCAATTTAAGAACAGGTTGCCTTGGGGCCTACCTGAGTAATCTCTCTGAGGCCCCAGGCAACTGTATGATGTGTCAGCTCCTATCTTTCAAAGAGCTCCTTATGTCACTGAAAACTGTAATTGAGAAATACCTAATACATTCTTGTGGAGGGTTGTTTACGTGTTGTGTTATTCTTAGAAGGCAAAGTGTACAGGATGCTGAATTGGGGAAATTTACAAGGACTCAGAAAGTTCAGAAACAAGCTAACATCTGAGGATCTGTATACCTAGCTTGGTGAGCATTTGCTATTGTATTTAATCCTTAATGACAGCTGCTACCATTAGCTGTCATGGAGCAATTAGCCTAATTTTTAAAGATAAGAAAACTAAAGCACAGAGAAGTTAAATAACTTGCGAAGGTCACATGGACAGTGGATGGCAAAGATAGGATTTGAGCTCAAGTCTGTTCATAACTTCTCAAATGTTTAAATATAGTACCCTGATATCCTTGTATACCAAGCAGTTTTTCTATTAAGACTATGTTGCTACTTTGGGTTTTTAGTACCAAATGTATTTTGGAATTTTCTTTGTTCCTATCATGCTTGACTCTTTAAACACCTATGTTAGATACTGTTCCAGGACAGCAGCGGGCTCCTGAAGGGCAGGGCTCTCTAGCATGCAGACAGCCATCAACTTCAAGGAAATCTTGGGAACGTGGTGAGATCAATCTTGGGCCTTTGCTAGTCTCGACAGACAGGATTTACACTCCCTCCTCCAAGTAAAACAACTAATGTTTCCCTAGCTAAGCTTACTGTGAGCTTACCATATGCCAGGCATTGGGCAAAATACTTTACAAACTTTATCTTCCTTAATCCTCACCGCTATCATATGAGGTAGGTACTATTAACATACCTATTTTATAGGTGAAGAAAGTAAGGCTCAGAGTAAATTACTCAATGTAGCACAGCTAATAATTGGTAGAGCTGGATGTCAAACCCAGGCTTTTGGGCTCCAAAGCCTGCGCTTTTTTTTTTTTTTTTTTAGGGTTTCTTTTTTTTTTATTGATGTTTCAGTAGTTTATAACATTGTGAAATTTCGGGTTGTGCATTTTTGTTTGTCCATCACCACATATATGACTCCCTTCACCCCTTGTGCCCACCCCCCACCCCCACTGCCCCTGGTAACCACAGTCCAGTTTTCTCTGTCCATGTGTTGGTTTATATTCCACATATGAGTGAGATCATACAGTGTTTGTCTTTCTCTTTCTGGCTTATTTCACTTAACATAATACCCTCCAGGCCCATCCATGTTGCTGCAAATGGGACGATTTTGTCTTTTTTATGGCTGAGTAGTATTCCATGGTATATATATACCACATCTTCTTGATCCAATCATCGGTCGAGGGAAACTTAGGTTGCTTCCACTTCTTGGCAAAGCCTGCGCTTTTAATCACCCTGCTGTGCTGACTCCTCAGCAGATTTTAATTGAGCACCAGGCACTGTGTTTAGGTTGGGTATAAAGAGGCAAAAAACCTGCTTCCCTGACCTCTAGGAGCTCCCATTATAGTAGAATGGATAGGTAAGTAATCACATAATGGTGTTATGTCATGACAAATGCTTTGAAAAGGACAAGCAGTAGGGCTCCCAGGACTTCAAAGAAGAAATAGGTGACTGCTTTAAGCAAGGAAAGGGAAGCAGGGAGACAGGGGAAGACCTCATTGAGGAGGTCGTATTTGAGCTGGACCTTGCGGAAGGTGTAAGAAGACTGCATAGAGGCAGAGAAGTGCATTCTGATTAAGGAAAGAGAAAATAGCTTGGTGTGGGTGGAGATTCACTTAACAAATATTTATTCAGCACCTACTGGATGCTAGGTACTGTTCTTGGTGCCAGAATACAGATGTGGTCAAGATAGGCTGGTTCTCATGGGTGAGACAAATAAGTAAACACAGATAATTGCAAATTGTAGTAAGTGCTATCAAAGAATGAAATAGGTTGTTCTGATAGGAAATAGCAAAGCAATCCTCCCTTTAGATGGGTTTGTCAGGGAAGGCATCTTTGAATAGGTGACCTTTGAGCTGAGGTCTGTAAGATAAGAAGTTAGGCATGAGAAGAGTAGAGAGGTCTGATTTAGGCAGAGGGAATAACATGTGCAAAGGCCTAGAGGGGGGAAACAAGCTTGTCCAACTTGAAGAACAGAAGGAAGATCAGTATGCCTGGAGCCTAGTGAGCATTGTGGAGAGCAGCAGGATACGAGGCTGATGAGGGGCAGGGACTTGTAGGCCACTCGAAGAGATCTGGATTTCATCCCTAAGTGCAGCAGAAAGCTGCACAAATCAAGTTTGTACCAATGATATGAGGCTAGAAAGGAGGATGCCTGGAATTAGGCCAGTATTCTGGTGTGACTGTGGGACATACCAGCATCTAGGGACTCTGGAAAGGATCCAGAAACAGATGACAAGACAGCAAAGCCTGATCTTTCCATCAGGAGATGACCCAGCTTAGTTGAGCTTGTCTGGAGAGCTATGCCAGGTTCAATCACACAGGATGCATGAGTCAGCCATTTCCCTGAAAAATTCTGAGCAGACCCTTCCTGGCCCTAATCCTTAGCAACTCCACCCTGCTTTAGGAAATATGTGATGTCAAGGTCTGAAAGGAAAGGGCAGTTCCTCACCAGACAGCCTGCTAGAGGTTGGGTTGGGTTCCTTTCCAGGCAGGGTGGGGCAGGTATATGGGTGGGCCTCTTGGAAAGATTATTGTAGAATGGGAGTGTGGAGTAACTTGAGAACGCAAATACAAGCCTGGCTGGGACCTTGTGTGAATGATGTCCAGTGCCCCAAACTTGAGGGTATATTAAGCATGAGTTGGAACCTGAACTTTAAAAAAATATCCTGATGCATCAAGATGTGAAAAAGCTTCTATATTGAATGTCTCAGGCCTACAGAAGAATTCCAGTCTTGTGGATTCAGTGGAGAAGGAAGATTAAGTGAATAATTTGTAAACTTTTAACATGCAACTGCTTGGTGATAAGGTATTTGAAGCTAAGGCTTTTTTCTGCAATGCCTGCTTTTTGTAATCTTTGCTCTGGACCTCTGCTAGGAGGGGGCGCAGAATCCAGAGCACTGCAGGCCCAGGCTTCCAATCCTTTGGCCACTGGGTATCAGCATTACAATTTGGATTAAAACTCTTAATCACTGAGGCATGCAGCTTCTAGTAGAATTCTTAACAAAAAAAAAATATTTATATGACTAAGGCCTTGTTGAAAATGGTATTTAGGGGAATGGTGGTACAATGAATGGGGTAAATGAAGAATCATTTCCAGTAAGGGATGGAAAAGGGAGACACTGAGGGTTAAGGGAGAAATGGCCCAAGAAGGAATAGCTGCTCCAGAAGCAATTCTTAAAGTTGAAGACAGAAATGGCAAAACAGCTGCCCTACTAGCGGTGGATAGTATTTTGTGGCATCTCAGCCCTGGATTTGAAATGATGGTAGGCCATAGCCCTCAATATTGGACTGCCACCCCAAAGCAACATCTGTATAGTGATATGACATGAAGACTTAATTCATGTATATCACAATGATTCTCTTAATTGGTCACCTTTAATAGTCAACTAAAAACATGGTTGATCCTCTCCCATACATACAACGTACACACAAAATAATTCTGTATTTGAGGGTTTTTTCTCAGCCTAGTGCTGTGAGTGATCTAAAACTGAGACACAATTTCTCTTTTTAAGGGAAACAGTCTTGGGCTCAAATCTCGATGTCCCCACACACTGGCTGTGTGTCCTCTGGCATAACTTCTCAGAGCCTCAATTTCCTTTTCTGCAAAATGCGGATAATAACTATCTCATAAGGTTACTGTGGATTAAAGAGCTAATGCATATAAAATATCTAATACATTAGTAAATGCTCAAATGATGCTATTATAATGATCTTAGTTAATTTTAGGGCTGCTTACGGCTGTCAGTTTGTACTGAGCACCTTTGTGAGGGAGATTCAGGCTAGGAGGTAAGAAGCTAACATTTGGCTCTTGTTCCCTCTTACTTATGCAGGCCCCTGGCATGTACAGACCCTGGACTTTCCTCTGAGACCAAACCGGGTAGAGTACCAACTAGTCAGAGCCACTGTGGTTTATCGCCATCAACTCCACCTATCTCACTTCCACCTCTCCTGCCATGTGGAGCCCTGGGTCCAGAAAAGCCCAACCAACCAGTTTCCTTCTTCAGGAAGCGGTCTCTCAAAGCCTTCCCTGCGGTCCAAAGCCTGGACAGAGATGGATATCACACAACACGTTCGGCAAAGGCTTTGGAATCACAAACAGCGCAGGGTTCTACGACTCCGCTTCATGTGTCAGCAGCCAAAAGGTAGTGAGGTTCTTGAGCTCCGGTGGCACGGCACTTCATCCTTGGACGCTGTCTTTTTGTTACTCTATTTCAATTACACTCATAAAAGTGGTCAGAAGGCCAAACTTCTCCCCAGAGACTTGGAGGAATTTATGGAAAGGGACTCTTCTCTCCTCTTGCGGAGGGCTCGGCAAGCAGGCAGTATGGCGTCTGGAGTTCTGGGCCCCTCCCAGGAACATGATGGGCCTGGAAGTAACCAGTGTTCCCTCCACCCTTTCCAAGTCAGCTTCCACCAGTTGGGCTGGGATCATTGGATCATTGCTCCCCATCTCTATACCCCAAACTACTGTAAGGGAGCCTGCCCACGGGTACTACGCTATGGTCTCAATTCTCCCAATCACGCCATTATCCAGAGCCTTGTCAATGAGCTGGTAGACCAGAGCGTCCCTCAGCCCTCCTGTGTCCCTTATAAGTATGGACCCATTAGCATCCTTCTGATTGAGGCAAATGGGAGTATCTTGTACAAGGAGTATGAGAATATGATTGCTCAGTCCTGCACATGCAGGTGACAGCAAAGGTACAGCTAGCTCAGGTTTCCCAGGAAATTGGAGAAAGGTTTAAAATAAACAAATATCAATGTTAAAGCTGCAAGTGATCCTCTGCCCAATCTGTGGGTTCTATTTCCTTGCCTTAAGTGTTGTTACTTAATGCCTCTTCCCCCATTTATAAGCTCCTCACTTTATAAAACCAGTTCTGATACCAAACATCAGTACATTTTGACCCCAAGCCAGAACCCTTAATGCTTGAGTAAGATGTTTGTTTGGAGATGCCCTATTTTCTTGTCATTTTTATTGTGACTTTGTCAAAAGTCACCAGTCCATGATGGTAGAACTTTAGGAATTTTCCCACCAAGGCCTGGGAAAGGTGGAATCTTCCTAGTGTGCATCTTCTGAGGCTCTCGATAAGATTTGGGGTGAAGAAAGCAACTTGAGTTTTATACTCCTCTTCCTTGCCTCCTGTATTCTAGAAACCAGTACCTAATCAGCAAGATTGCCTGCTTCTGTGCTTGGATTACCCTCTAAATCTAAAATTAACTTTTCTCAGATGGATTGGAAAACTTTTAGGCAATAATCTCCATAAAAATCTTTTGAGGGAAACAAAAGGTAGGGAATCTTTTTCTAAGATATCAAGGCTTCTCCTCTCAGCCTCAACCTGGGGAAAGTACCAGGGATTCCTTCCTACCCTAGGGAGAGGAGAGCAGCCTTTAATAAGGCCAATAGGGAAACTTGAGTATGGAGCTGTCTGAGATGACAATCACTTGAAAACCTCCTGCATCTATGGTGAAGAGAGGAAGAACTGTCATTGCTGATTAGGATTATGTATGGGGGAGTCATTTCAAACTTTCTATGGAATGATAGATTTTACAGGGTATTTTCTTGTTTTATGTAACATTTAAACCCTTGTTAATTATCCCACAAAGCTCCCTTGTGGTTCAGAGGCTAGGAGTTGGCCTGGTTGAGGGTGGAGGGGTAGAAGGCTGCAGTTAGGAAGCTTGAAGGGCTGTAGGGGAAAAATGAAATGTGCTGAGGCCAGGGGCCAACTTTATTCTGGGCTTGCGTGTTTGTGTGTTCAGTTTGGCTCTGGGCATGGGTCTCGGGGGGAGATGGGCTTGCTGTCTTAGGAGGCATGGAACTCTGCCTTGGACTAAATGATGCTTGCAGTATGACTCTTTTCTACTCCTATGCTGTATTGAAGTGACGGGGACTGGGCTGTGTTGCAAATAAATCATTTTTTGTTGTTAAAGAGAATCTTGAGTGTTTTGGGGATTGGGAGAAAGTGGGTGGAAAGAATTTATTTCCTTTGTTCCCTTTAGCTATGGCCAGGAGCTCAACCCTAAACCCCAAGGGCAGGGCTGGAGGCTCCTCAGAAGTTCTGCTCTGTTAAGGCAGCACTCCTAGCAATCGGCCCTCCCCGTGGGACCCCTTTGAGGAAGCCCAGTAAGGCATTTCCCCTGCCTAACTGTCTCTTGACTAATTTGATGGCCATTCTCAGTGGGATAGAACTGATTTAGGGTGGGTGTATGTGTTTGCAAAAATGTAAATCCCTATCTCTTTCTTACCCATCCATCATAAATTAACTCATCTTACTACTCCCTTCTCAGTAATTGGTTCCAGCTAGACTGAATATTTTACATGTCTATAGATACACAAATTTTATTCTTCTGCCTGAGGAGCTGTTCCTTAACATCCTTTTGTCCATCTACCTTCTTTACTGTGTCTTTAGGAATCAGCTGAGTCATTTATCTTCATCTCCTCAATTCCCCCATGACACCCCAGACTGAGGTAGGTGCTCCTCGCCTGCCTGCGCCCCCTCCCTGCCCCCCGGCCCTGTGCTCACATAGCAGTATTTGCTTTCCTTTAACACACTCTAGTGTAGCTGTCTTTGTTGCCAAAAGATGGAGCTCCTTTTGAGAGTTCTACTGTGTTCTACCCAATTCTGTGTTACCAAAGTTTGGCACATAGTACATCCTTGATGAATACAAACACAGGACAGTGATAATTTTTCGGGTGGAGGGATGCATTTTTCCTGACACAATATTTCAATGTTCACATATTTTGTTAATTTTCCATGGGAACAAAGGTAATATAAGATATACTTTGTATATACAAAGTAAAATTATTAATTTTTGTGCCCCATTATTTCAAAATCATGGTTCAAATCACAATAGAATGCAATAACTGTGTTCTTGAGTAAGGCAGTTTGTGAAACCATTATATATGCTGCAAGTTGACATGGAAGAGTAAATGTGGGCTTCCAGGCCAGCCATTTTCCCAGCCTACCTGGGGTAGACACAAATACGCAACAGGTCTGAAGACAGACCTTGGTTATAGGACCAGATTCTGAGTTCAGCATCTCAGTGTTCTTTGGGATTTTCAGAAAATTATGGTCTCCTAGCCTTGTGAGTCCTGAATATGTCAGAAATTCAATCTGTTTATGGAAGGATCAGGGTTAATTAGCCCCGTTATCTGCTAAGCCCTGAGTTCTCAGAATACCCAAGGAAAATACTGGCAGGATGGGGTCAGTTGTGACTGATGTTACAGGTTCTCTGTAGGAGATGTGTGGATGGGAGTCTGTCTGCCCAGGTAAGTGAGAAGAACTGGTTTCTTAGTCCAAAAAAGGAAAGCAGGGAGCAAAGTCCACCTTGTCCCAGCTCTCCCAGTGAATAGGCCAGAACTTCAATGTATGGGTGCAAAAGGAGCAGGCATTTAAACTTGCTTCTGACCCTGGAGCTCGGTTCCATTTACTTTGGTAGGATGTTACATCCAATTCTGGGCAAAGTTGGGAAGCAGGTGAAATTTATCTTCAGTTCCACCAAATCTTTGGGTGCCTAATTTGGTAAAAGAAAGTTTCATGTCTTCAGTTATTTCTCCCAACAGCACTATGAAGCAGGAAGTATTAGTCCCATTAAAAAAATAACTGCTTTATTGAGATATAATTCATATATCATAAAACCCACCATTTTAGATGTTCAATTCAGTGGCTTTTAGTATATTCAGGGTTGTGAAAAAATCACTACAATAAATTTCACCACAAAAAGAAACCCTATGCCCGTTACTAGTTAATCTCCATTCCTCCACCCCAACCCCAGCCCCTGGCAACCACTAATCTACTTTCTTTTTCTATGGATTATGCATATTGATATAAGTCAAATCATACAATATTTGACTTTTTGTGACTGTCTTCTTCAATTTAGCATAATGCTTTCAAGGTTCATCTGTGTTGTAGCATATATCAGTACTTCTGATATATGCTGGTATATGAACTGATATATGAACGTAAAGTTCGCCACAGAACTTCACGTTCTGTGAAAGAAACTGGGACCCCTCTCCCTGGTCTAACAGGAAAATCTAGCAAACAAGCTGCATAGGCTTCAAGTCAGTACAATAAAATCCATGATGTACTGTGAAGCAGCCATGCAGGCCTCATAAACCTGTGTTAGAATGACCTTGCAACCCCTTATCTCATGACTGAAGACGCCACTAGGATGAATCAGCAACAGGAAGCAATAATGGGTACCTTGCTCTCACATTTCCCAGCTGTATTTCTTAGAGACTGAAGGAAAAAGTGATGACCCTGGTCCTTGCCTCCCTCCACACATAGATAACACCAATGTTACAAGCCTTGTTTGATGTAAAACCAAAAAGATCTTATCTTTGAAGTATGACTAGTAGATGTGTAAGCCCTTTACTACACATACACTGCTTTGTTAAATTTTATATAAACTGCACTCAGATCTGTAGACCTCAGAGCAGTTCCTCAGAATACTCTGTAGGACTGTTTCCCAGGATTTGAATTCCTCACTTTATTGAATAAACTCCTTTAATTAACCTTTACCCAGACTCTTCATTTCAGTCAACAGTTCCTTTTTATTGCTGAATAAAATTCCATTGCAGAATATGCCACATTTTGTTTACTCATCCATCAGTTGATGGGCATTTGAGTTGTTTCTACCTTTTGGCCTTTATGAATAATGTTGCCATGAATGTTCATGGGGAAGATTTTGTGTGGACATATATTTTCAATCCTCTTGTGTGTATATCTAGGAGTAGAAATGCTGAATCATATGAGGAACTGCTCAACTATTTTCCCAAGTGGCTACACCACCTTACAATCCAGCAAAGTATGAGGGTTGCAATTTCTCCACATCCTCATCAACACTTGTTATTGTCTGTCTTTTTTATTTTAGCCATACAAGTGGAGGTGGAGTGGTATTTCATTGTGGCTTTGATTGCATTTCCCTAAGGACTAATGATGTTGAGCATCTTTTTATGAGCTTATTTGCAACTTGCATATCTTCTTTAGATAAATGTCCATTCAAGTCATTTGCCCAGTTTTTAATTGGGTTGGCTCTTATTGTTGAGTTGTAAAAGTTCTTTATATATTCTGGATGTTAGCCCCTTATCAGATGTATGATTTGCAAATATTTTGTCTGATTCTGTAGGTTGTCTTTTGACTTTCTTGATGGTGTCCTTTGAAACACAAAAGTTTTTAATTTGGAAGAAATCAAATTTATCTATTTTTATTTTTATCTTTTGTTGCTTGTGCTTCTGAGGTCATGAGGATTTACACCTGTCTTTTTAAGAGTGTTTTATATTTTTAGCTGTAACATTTAGGTGTTTAATCCATTTAAGTTAATTTTTCCATATGGTGTGAGGTAAAGGTCTAACTTCATTTATTTGCGTGTGGATATCCAGTTGTCACAGAACCATGTGCTGAAAAGACTAATCTTTCCGCATTGAATTGTCTTGGTGCCCCTGTTGAAAATTAAGCATAAATATAAAGTTTTATGGCTAGACTGTCAATTTTGTTCCATTGTATATATCTGTTCTTATGCCAGGACAACACTGTCTTGATAACTGTAACTTTGTGTAAGTTTTGAAATTGGGAAATGTGATTCTTCCAAATGTTTTCTTCTTTACTAAGATTGTTTAGGCTATTTTGGGTCACTTGTATTTCCACATGAATTTTAGCATCAGATTTTCAATTTCTGAAAAAATACTAGCTGGGTTTTTTCGATTAGGGACTGCATTGAATCTGT